GATTTATTGTAGAGATGAGGTCTCGCTGCCCAGGCGGGTCTCGAACCCAAGGGCTCAGGCTCACCTCAGCCTCCCAAAGGCGCAGGATTACAGGCTGAGCCACCGAGCCCGGCTTTAACAATGTAATTCTTACAACAACTCCAAGAAAGGTATTGTTTCCCTCTTGACACTTGAGGCTGGCATTGCAGTCTGGGGTCCAGCTCTTACCAATGCTCCCCCTTTGCTTCTTCCCTCCAAGGCATACACAGGAGGCTCTGGCACCAGCTCTCCCTGGGCCGCCCTCTGGGGACCTAAGACCAGTCCAGCAAGGCAGAAGGCTCCCAGGGGCCAGGTGGCTGTCTTGGCCTCCAAACACCTGGAACTTGTCTTGTGGGAGCTTTGGAGGCAGGAGCTCGGCACCCCCACCCTGAGGCCCCTCAAGGCTTTGCCAGGCGTTGGTTTCCCAGTTGAAAGAGGGCTGGAGAAGACTGAAAGGTGAAGTGGGAATGAAACACTCATTCAAAGAAGGTGTTTAAATGCTCAACGGAGAATAGAAATATTTTTCTAAAAAACCCTCCAAGGATTTGGGTGCCTTGAGTCTCTTCTGGGACACAGTGAACAGAGAAAGGAGGATAGAGTCAGACAAGAGAGACATGGAAGCATCATGCCTAGACTATACTCTCCATGTGCCCTGGGGTCGAGGCAAGAGTCCAGCCCAGACAAGCTATTCTTTCAGTAAGGGGAGAGGATTTGATGGTCCTTGGTCATCCTTAGTGTCCCTGTCTCCATTGTGCCTGGTGGGCCTCCCTATAAGAGGATAGCCCAAGCCCCCTCCCTGAGAGATGCTGGGCCCTGCTCAGGGCAGCCAAAGGACAGGCCAGCTGAGGCCTGACAAGCAGACACAGCTGCAGGGAAGAAGCACTGGGGCAGGGGAGCCAGCCCTGCCACTCCCCTCCAGATTTGGCTATTGCCCAGGCCCAGGGAGGCTGAGCTTCCCACAAGAATCAACGCAGTACACACCTGAGGATGGGGGACAGCCAGGCAGGACCAAGCTAGAAGAAGCACGGAGACCCATCAGCAAAGATTGGCATGAGTTGGTCCAAGCCTGAGGAAAAAAGATGTCCCTGAGATAGCTCCGAAGGAAGGACATTCAGATGGCCCCAAGGCAAGTCCTGGTTGATCTGGCCCAGCCTCTCTTGGATGTCATTCTGGTGCCCTTGCTCATGCTGTCATAGTGATCTTCTGGACATAAGTCCTGTCCTTCGTGGCAGTGTCTCCTCTGTGGCCATGGGCCCTGCCCTTCTGTGTGGGGTCTGCAGTGGCCCACCCCAGTTCCCTGCTGCAGGGTAGCAACCTCTTCTCTGTAGATGGTTCAAAGGGTCTGGAGGTGTCCTGTTGTGGGGGATCCATGCCATGGGGGTGATCTGTCATGGGAGAGCCCCATGAGCAGTTCACTAGGACGGTACAGGCACTGCAGAATTCATTCTGGATGGAAATACACTGGTATCTGCAACTTTCTTTGAAATGCCTGATAAAATAGAATAGGCTGATGGATGTATAAAGAGATCTACATGTGGTAAAGCAAGTTGAAGAAAATGTTATGGAAGAATGGTGGTGGTAGGTATCTGGGTGCCCACTTAAGAATTTTTTCAACTTTTTTTGCTTGAAAATGTCTGTAATAAAACGTTAAAGATAGCATATCCCTGCATGGGGAGGCAGGAAGAGATAAAGTCAATTTTCGGCAGGATAGGCCTAGCTGGGCAGCTCAGCTTGCCCCAGGAGTTCCCTTTCAGTCTAGAAAACCATTGTGTTTTTCTTCACTGTTTTTTTACCCTTTGTTTGACCTCTATCTCTGAAGGCAGCAACACACTCCTGTCATTAGTAGAGGCTCCCTATGGCAATGAATTTGGGGGGTAAGAGCTATGTGTGTTTTAAGAAATCCCAAGGTCTAGGATGCCCCATGGAGTCTGAAGAGCAGGCTAGGCTTTACAAACAGACACTGTGGCTTCCTGACGATCCAGGCATTTATTTATCTATTGTCCTTGTCTTGTCTCAGCAGATTCGGATGTTGGGGGAGGGGTGCTTTGGACATAAAGCACCATAGCTCCTGGGACTGAAATGGCAGACCAACAGCAATTGAGAAGGGCTCTTCTGGTCTTGCTGTTATTACCCATGTAGGATAGGATGGATTTAGTTCCTGGGAACTCCCTATAGAGCTCGTCTGGGAATGAACTGGAGACTGGTATCTGCAAGGCACCCTGGTTTACAAGGGGGTGGCCTGTGAAGGGCCTGGCAGGAGGCTTCCATCCATGTCTTTAAGCCCAGGACCTGGCCAGAGGCCCACCAAGGCTTGGCACCTGGGGCAAGGGACTGTCCCCAGGTCCTCTCTAGGCTCCTTCTAGGATGGTTCTCAGGCCTTGGCCAGAAAATGGCTTCTGCCAGCATTCGGAGCTGGCCTTGTCACTGGGTTACAGCCAGGAAGGTGACTGGGATGTGCCCAGAGGAGCCAGGAGAACTGGCAGGTGGGCACGCTGGGGAGGCAAAGTCACAGGACACCTTCCAGTCATAGTTTGGTGAAGTTGGGGTGGGCTCCAGGGCCTCCTCTTTCCTGGGATGTCACCGGAGGTGAGACCTGCATGGCATTCCTTGTGATGTCATGGCGGGGAGACCTCCAACACAATATGGTGAAGGTCAGGTCATAAAGTCACTCTGCATGATATCAGCAGGGGTCAGGGCATTCCACATGGTGTCAGGGTAGCCAGTCTCTGTGACATTCCATGAGGTAACTCTAGGGTGGGACTGCTAATGTCACGGGGGTGGGCCATCAAGCCATTTTAAAGGATGTCACTAGGCCCTCTGGAATTTTGCTTCTCATGTGCTATCACTATGGGTAGGGCCCCACAGCATCCAGCATGCCATTACTGGCTGTCAGGTATGAAGAATTTGGCACTGTGCATGATGTCATGGGAAGTGTAGTCTGAGCTACGGTGGCATATCCCAAGTAGTGTCCTAGGAGGAGTTCCCAAGGCAGAGTCTCTCAGAAGCATTTTGTGTGGTCACACTGGAGATGGGGCCTTCAGACTCGAACAGTCTGTGACATCAGTGGGGTGCAGGATTTGAGAACTGGCCCCCACACCTGCACTTTCTCTTTTGGAGGTATGAAGCTAACTACAGGGCCCTCAGCCCTGCTCCATTTCCCAGCTGGCCTTGCTCACCCAGGCAGCTCCTTCTACCTTCTGCACATCCGCCATGGTCGCACAAAGCACCTGGCACTATGATGTTTTTTTTTTTGTTTTTTTTTTGAGTTGGAGTCTCACTCTGTCGCCCAGACTGGAGTGCAGTGGCCGCTCCCGGCCACCGCAGCCTCGACCCGCTGGGCTCCGGCGATCCTTCCTCCTCAGCCTTCCGAGTAGCCAGAATTACAGGCATGCGCTACCACGCCCAGCTGATTTTTTGATTTATTGTAGAGATGAGGTCTCGCTGCCCAGGCGGGTCTCGAACCCGCGGGCTCAGGCAATCCACTCACCTCAGCCTATGATGTTCTTGTGTGGATACATTTATCCTGCCTGTTGGTCTCGCTGCGTCTCTGGGGTGATGCTGAGTCTTAGTTCCTGCATCTCCATTTTCTCCTGGAGTCTGAGAAGTGCTCCGTGAGTTTGCAGGGTGCAAGGGTTATTGCAGGTTAACCAGGGTTACAAACAGCCCCCAAAGCTTAATAGCTTACTTAGCACAACAAAAGTTCCTCACCCCGTAATGTTCATACAGTACTCCTTAATTCTCTTTCCTTCAATACATGATTCAGGATCCAGGTCCCTTCAGTCAGCAGCTTGGCTGTCCTCCTCTCCCTCCTCTGCATCCAGTCAGCCAACAAGCAGAGATCACAAGGTTGGTTGCTAGAGGCACACCTGGAAGTGGAGCGTATAGCTTCCGCCCTTATTCCACTGGCCAACGCTGGTCCATGGCCACAGTCAGATACAAATTGCTAAGAAATGTGGTAGCCTTTGTCAAGAAGAGCAACAAGGCTTGGCAAGCATCTGGTCCTGGCCATAGTGAGCAAAAGACAGAATAATGGCCTCGACAGGATGCTTCTGGTGACTTTTCCCTAAGGACTGGTTTATCCCCAAAACCACCCTCCTTATGCTCACCTCCCCCTCTGCTGTTCAATCAGATCACACCAGGCAGCAAAGCAGCCCAGTCCCAGCTCAGCCAGGGTGACCTCGTGGTAGCCATTGACGGCGTCAACACAGACACCATGACCCACCTGGAGGCCCAGAACAAGATCAAATCTGCCAGCTACAACCTGAGCCTCACACTGCAGAAGTAGGTGGAAGCTCTCCAGAGCGGGGGGTGGAGGCTTGGAGGGGGAATGGGGTAGGGATCAGGGAAGAGGGGTTGTCCCATAGTAACTGCATGGGCCCAGCCCTATGCTACAGAACTGTGTGGGAAGGTAAGAACAGCCCTGAACCGGAGGGTCTGGTCCAAGTTATTGTCAAGCACCTGGAGGCAGACATTACTGCCTTATTTTACAAATAAGGCTCAGAGAAGGTAGTCCCAATGCGGCCAGTACATGGGCCATCAGGCCAGGAAACCAGGTCTTCTCTGCTTCATTTTTGCCCAGAAGCCTCCGAATGGTCATAGGTACTGATCAAGGTGACTTGTCAATCCTTGTCAGGCCAAGAGCCTTCTTGGGGAGAACCATTCCATGGGGTGGACAGTGGGCCTAAGGCCCCCTGACCCAGCTGCTCTCCTCTCCCCTCACCAGCCCATACTAGGCAAGAGCTCCTGGTTCCAGGATTGACTTCCTCACTTGGTCTCATTTCTGGTTTTTCCAGGTCAAAGCGTCCCATTTCCATCTCCACAACAGCACCCCCGGTCCAGTCCCCTCTGCCGGTGATCCCTCACCAGAAGGTACGTGCAGACCGTCAGCGGTGGGGTCCACTCTTAGCCATGGTTCCTGGAGTACAACCCCTGACCTTCCTGCCTGATCTTTGGCTGGCCCAACGGGGATGAGATGGTGGGATCAGCCCTGCCCCATCCCTTCCCTTGCTGTGGCTAACCCTGGGTTAGTAGACCAGGCCCTTGGAAGAGATGTTCAGGCGCCCCACAAAACACTGAATGTGGGAGTGCCCAATTCAGTCAGATGCTCAGTGATGATCTTAATGACAGGCAAGGGCAGCAAGGGAGGTCACACCCTGGCCCCAGACCTCACCATTGTGCTCTAGGCCCTTGCCAAGCTCCAAGCAGCTCAACCCTGAGGGCCCGAGGGGCCTGAGGCCCAAAGCACAGGAGACCCACCCTACTGCTCCTCCAGTCTGTTCCCCCTGTGTGACCTCAGACTGACACCCTCCTGTGGGACAGATTGGCAGGATGGGGAGAGGGGAGAAGAGGCTGACAGGGCCAGGGCGGGTCATAGACTGGGGAAGTGGGCAGAGGGCTGCTTGGGAGATGCTTACAGGGGTGGACTGAGAGGCCCAAATGTCAGCCCAACTACTTCCACAGTTTCCCCTCCTGCACCTCCACCTCACTTGCCCACCACCAGCCCAGGGAACCCACTGGCCATGTGGGGAAAATAGGATGGGAAGCTGGGCCGTGTTCACCAAATGCCTACTCTCTGGGGAAGAAGGAACAGATATGGGATGGAGGAGCCCTCCACTGTTCCCTGGGCATACATTCCCTTCCTCAGGCCATGGAGCCAGCTGGCTTGTTGTGGCTTCTGTGCAGGGCTTTGCATTCTGCTCAGCTGGAGGCCGGGCTCTGGGCCAGGAGCTGTGTGCCTCCGCTCCTCCACCAGCACCCTTCTCCTCCAGGTGCCCCTCCAGGCACTCTGGGCAGCAGGCTGCTGGACGCTCCCATTAACATGTCTGTTTCAGGTCCCCGCAGAAGCGCTGGGACGTGTGTGGCCTCTAACCGCTCTCTTCTCTCTCCCTTGCATGGCGCTGCCTTGTGCCAGGACCCTGCTGTGGACACGAATGGCAGCTTGGTGGCACCCAGCCCTGAAGCGAGGGCCAGCCCGGGCACCCCGGGCACCTCGGAGCTCAGGCCCACCTTTAGCCCTGCCTTCTCCCAGGCCTCCGCCTTCTCCTCACACAAGGAGGCCTCTGACCCCGGCCCTCTGCGGGCCAGCCCAGGGGCCAAGACCAGCCCAGAGGGGACCCGGGACCCGCTTGGCCCAAGAGTCCTGCTGGGCTCAAGCCAGCCAAGGCTGTATAACAACCCCATTGGCCTGTACTCGGCAGAGACCCTGAGGGAGATGGCTCAGATGTACCAGATGAGCCTCCGAGGGAAGGCCTCGGGTGCTGGACTCCCAGGAGGGTAGGTAACGGGCACACAGTTCTCCACTGGTGGTCTGGGGCCACCTGGGTCCTCGGTGCTCGGCAGAGGCCTGGTCAGGTGGTCAGAGCAAGGAGCTGGTCCCCATCCAGCCAGCCCCAAGCACATGAAGCAGCTCAAGCTGTGAGCAATGCAAGCAATGACCCTGTCGACATTTGCCATCAGCTGGGCATGTTATTGCTTCACACAACCACCCTCAAATGACGTGTCAGGGTTTGCAGAGCAGAAAACAGAGGCTCAGAAAAGGTTAAGTCACAGTCCAGTTGCCCAGCTACTAAGTGACCATGCCAGCCTAAGTGCAAGAAACTCTGACTTCCAAAACTTTCACACCAGGCCTCCCCCAAAATGGGACAGCAGAGCCTACTGCCTTTAGGAGCCATGAGCTTGTCCTCACCCTCTGGGAGAATTGAGGCAGGAGCAGGGAAGAGTTAGAGAGGAGGAAGGATGAGTCATCTAGGGCTGGAAGTAGTCTGGGAAGGCTGCCTGGAGAAGGGAGTATCTGAGTTGTGTGCAAAGAGATTAAGCAATGATGTGAGGGGAGTGGGCTTTGCAGGACTGACCCAGGCCAGTGTGGGGCAGTAAAGAAGCAGGACCCTGAAGAGAAAAGGGCTATGGAGGAAAAGAGCAGCCATGCGCCTCTGTGGCCCAGCTGGAGCACAGGAGTTAAAAGGAATGGGACTGGGGGTCACGAAGGGGCTGAGGGGAGTCCCCATACTGGGCATGTGTTCACTCACTTTAATTTCTACCATCGCACCCCCTACACCCCGCCCCATGCTGTCAGTATCGTTATCTCTGGTGCCAAAGGCAGAGCAGGCAGAGTTAAGGCAATACAGCCTAGCTCAGGGTTCCCACCCGCACAGTGGGTGGAATCACACTGTCACGTCTCAGGATTACTGGGTGGATAAAGAAGATAACACGTGTGAAGCTCCCAAGTTTCATCTTGTCATGCACTCACTACATAACACCTGGTATTGCCATTGCCTCGAGTCACCCAGCGTGTACACAGAAGAGTCCAAGTAGGAACCTGCTCAATCTGACCCAAGCCCACGCCCTTCCCTGTCTCTGCCCTTGCTGCAGAAGTCCTCTGTGCCACAAGCTCCCTGGTCCCTGTGGGTCTCCAGCCTCCCCAGCTCCCCAAACCTCTTGCTGGGGTCCTGGGTAAAGCTGGCTTCTGGCACTCCATGGCTTCCCTCATCTGATGTTATATGTACCCACCGGGGTTCCCCAGCAAACTCAGGGAATGATAGACCAGAGACGGCCTTCCTGTCTTTCCTTTGTTGGGCTGGTGGATCTTCCTGGTCCTCCCCAGGCAGGGAGGTTGGCCCTTGGTGTCATGGAATGTGCAAGAGGCCCACCTGCAGTGATGATAATGTTAAGACTTCACTCTTGGCTGGAGGCCAGCTAATGGTCCACATGCCTTATCACTCAGAAACTCTAACAGCTCTCTCAGCAATTCCAGAGTTGGGCATTGTTTTCCCCCATCTTATAGCTGGAAAATAGAAGCTCAGAGAGGGTAAGTAGCTGTGTGTGCTTGAGGTCACACAGCTAGTAAGCGGCAGACAGGACTGGCTCTAGGGTCTGCGTGGCTCCACCCTGCATTGAGACAGGTACCTATCTCCCTGTCAGGGAAGTCAGGGGCCAGCCCCATCTGGTTTCCTATGACTCCCGAGGTACCCTTCCGTTGGCAAAGGAGCTTCCCAGACCCTGATGAAAGTGTAAATTATCACTTGATACTCAGAGCAGCAGAGTTCAACAGTTTCCTCCAAGGGACAATGTTGGGGAATGCAGGAGGTACTTCATCCAAAGTAAAACCTGATGCAGCTGTCCTGGGCAGTGTTGGCAGGAGGGGCTGGAACTGGCTAGCCCAGGGCAGCCTCTGCTAGGCGGAGGCCACCATCTTTGCTAAGTGTCTAACTGCTCGTAGGCAACAGAGTCGCAAGTGCTAATCTCTGTGTCCATCCATTGCATGCTTATCCCATGCTGAGACCTTTACACTCGGGACCCGTTTAGTCTGCATGACTCACCTGTGTGGTGGGCACCACGATCTGGTTTTTATGAATATGAAAACTGAGGCTGAGACAGATGGGTAATTGCCCAGAGATATAGTGCTAGGAAGAGGCAGGGTCAGGATTTGAACTCTGTCCTGTCTGGCTCCAAAAGGAAGCCCCTTTCCTTACACTTTCCTTTGGGCAGCTTGCAATGTGATTCCTCAGCAGCTTGTATCCTCTTGGGAGGCGGCAGCTTGTATCCTCTTGGGAGGGAGGAACGGATGGGGACCAAAGGTAGGCAGGCCTGAGCATCCCTGTAGGCCCTTCTTCTCATCCCCTCTGGGGCTGGCATTGAAGGGCAGCATCCTTCAGGCCACTTGGTGCTAGGGCCCTGGGCCCATCTTGCGTCTTCAGTTCATCTTCTCCAAGGCCAGGACACTGGCTGCTCTCTGAGATGTGTCTGCTGCAGTCATCCCAACCCCTCGGAGGTGGTGGGGGGGGAGAATCAATGCCAAAGAAGGAGCTGGCTGCCAGGGTAGGGCAGAGAAAGCCTCCACCCCACCAGGCCAACACCGCCCTCTGCAGGGGACACTGGACTGGTCAAGGCAGACGCTAACCCTGCAGCTGTCAGCCCTGGCCAAAAATGGAGAAGGAATGGAGCTCCACGCTGGCCCTTTCCTAATATAGCTCCACTTGCAGTTATTTTGGGCCTGGGAGAACAGAGGGAATTTCATCAGCTCTGAGACAGTGGCGAGTCTGGGGCAAAGCAGGACCACCGTGCAGCTCTCTGGGCCTGGGGACCCCTGACTTGGCCTGGCTCCCTGGGGCTCTGGCCATGGGATGACCAGAGCCAGGCCAAGTGGGGCTCAGGCTCCCCCAGGCAGAGCTCACAGTGGGCAGATCCAGGAAGAAGGCATGTTCCGTGTCCATGTTCCAGGAGGGTTGCTCTCAGATAAGAGCAAAGGCCAAAGTCCCTCTGTGGTGCTGGGCCAGCCTGCCTCAGGGACTTTCCTGTGCCAAGCCTTGGACTCACACCTCTCCCTGAGCCTCCTCACTCCCCCATCTGGCCTCACTGCTAGTCCACTGGTCCTTTAGGAGTGGTCACTGGAGCTGCACTGCACCCCAGGGGCCAGGACTACTCACCCTCTTCTTGGAGGTAAAGCAGGTCTGGGAGCCATGGGTAATGCTACCACACACCCCATTCCCCAGTGCCACAGCAATACCCACTCAGAGAGTGGAACACCAGAGCTGCCCCCATGAAGCAACACTAAGTCCAAAGCTACTGTCTGGCAGGGAGGCACCTTCCACAGTGGCCCCTTCCACAGCGGCCACAACTGGTTCTGTCTCTATCCTCAGCTTCCTTTCCAGGGTCTGTAGTCAGGCAACATGGTGGGGGAGGATTCATGTACATGCTGTCAGTGCCCGTGAAGATGGACAAGAAAACCCTCTCGGTGCAAAGCTGAGGGCCCTGGGGCCCCACCAGGGGAAATGCTGCTGAGTTGATATCTCTGCCCCAAACAAAGGGTCCCAGAGGCTGGGATGACTGAATCCTCTCCCTTCTATGCCTCCTTACTCTTCTCACCCAGTGCAGCGCGGGCTGGTTCTGCCTGCACAATGACCAGTTCTGAGGATGTCCCAGTGCTTAAACTCCCGCTGGCAGAAGCCTCACTCTGACACTCTGTCTTCATCGCCCTTTCTCTCCTCCTTAGGTGGTAGCCAACTCTCCAGCCAAGTTAGTATCCAAGGACAGCATGTGTGTGCATTTGCGTGCCAATCCCAGCATGCATCTGCGTGTCTGGCGTGAAGAGTGTGTGCCTGTCAGCATGTGTACGTGCGTGTGTGCATGTGTGAGTTGGGGTGCATTTGTGCCCCTGGGCGAGCCTGCATGTGTGTGACTCTGGAGTGTGAAGTGGAAGCATTTGGGGCGGGGGGAGTGGAGGCTCCATCTGATGGTTCCGATTTTATTCCCAATTTCCTGCTGCAGCTGCTTAAGACATGCACAGGCTGGCTCTGGGGATGGGGGGGGCGGGAGGATGCTGTGCTGCCACTGAGCCTGTGTGAGCCTGAAGACCTTTCTGTCCTGGTGGGACCCCTCAGAAGGGCTGCACCTGAACCTGTCTTTATCCGGGAAGCATACCTCTCTGCTGGAGGGAAGAGCCTCCTGTGGCTAGAGTCTGGCCGGCCACACAGTGAGCAGGACTTGAGGGGGCCTGGGCAGCCAGCGCCCTGCTCTGAGGAAGAAACACATGCACTGAAGCATCTGGAAAAGCAGAGCCCCAGGCAACTGCAGGATGAATCCCTTTATGGAGGAACAGCGCTCAGAATCCCTGGGGGTGCCCCGTGGGGCTGCTTTTCGCCTTTGGGGCGTTTTGGACTTGGCTTGGACTGTTGCTGCCTCTCACACTGGCCCAGTTCCTGTTCCC